AGGTGAACATGAACAATGACAATTAATGAACGTAGGAAAACTAATTTGTAAGATTTTGAAGAAAAGAAAGAAGAGAATCTTTGAGTTTCAGCGTACTTATCTGGATATCAGACTACGCAACCCCCTGCTTTATTTCCGTATATACTTTCAAAATTGTATTAGTCTTGTAATTTTTATTTTTTTATTTATAAAAAGTTGAATTAAATGGGTCATTTTGCATTTCTCTTCATGATTTAGTTGAAGCTTCAATTTAAAGAAAATGTAAAAAGGAAAAAATGTACAAACTCATCTAATAACTTTTTTTAAGACGACTTCAGTTGTTTGAGCCAAGTCATGCTCGAATAATAATTAAAAAACTAATATAGGATGCAACATGAATCAAACTTAGGTTAAAATAATGGCTACTTTTCTCCAAAAATAAAATAAAATAATGGCTACTTGTTCCACTGTACGCCAAACTTTTGTTCTCACCGATGAATCGAATTCAATTTTTTAATATTTAAATGGATTAATTAAACTAAACGAATAACAAGTACAAAAATGATAATAAAGTAGACCCGATTGATCGTATCTCCAGATTTCTGTTACAAATCTCATTGTCCCTATATTGATTTCTGCAACTTCATTTTCAGATCTCAATGCTTTGATGTGATGATAGGGAGGGTTCTATAACTTTTTCCTCTCTTTTTCCGTCTTAAAGGTTGCATCTCTTTCAAGAGTTTGCTGTGTGCTGAAAATTTGAAGACAAAAGGGAATCTGTGAGTTTCTTTCTTCCTTCTACTGAGGTAAGCTTCCAACCTTTTGCAAGCTTAAGTTCTTTGCCTTTTGCCCCCTCCACCATGTCATTAATGTGTACGGTTCATTTCAGATCCCTGGTTGGAAATGGATTGTGAGAGAATCAAACATTTAGGTATAAATCTAGTTTACTTTTCTCACTTTTTATTTTTAATACATTTTTTTTAATCACCATTATTTGTATTTTAAGGGCAAACATCTTCTTCAGGATCCATTCCCTCCACGTATTTTTAGACTTTTCATTCTCCATGTCACCTTTATTGCTTCCAAAATAAATCAACAAATATATCATAATTTTTTTTTTCTTTTTTTTTTAAATTATAGCTTGAAGGTAAAGCAGCATCACTATCATGCCCTTTAGGCGCTCCCTTTTGGAAAGTTTATGTGGTTGATCTACAATCCTGAGATTGCTACTTGAGTTTTGGGTTTTTATATTAGTTTGATTCGATCATTGTGATATTTACAAGATTCGATCACTAGCATTTCTATATCCCCATAAGTCTCAAACTCACAAGTAAGTAGTAACCATCCCTTAATTCCCTTTTTTTTTTTTAATATCATTTAATCCCGAATTTGAATTTAGTCACACTTCTCTGGAGATATATTTGGTGAAAATTTCTTCCCATCTACTCAGCTTGTACCTACTCGGCTTGTATTGTCGGTCAAGTGAACTACAACCATTGGTTTTCTCTCCCCTTTCAAACCACCTAGATTTGGAGCACGTTTTGAGTATATGTACTCCCTTACCAAAAAAAAAAAAAAAAAATTGCATACAAATAAGAGATTGGCATCTATCATGTCACGTCACACAAATTTTTTTACACACACCAACATTTTGTGGGACCCGCACTTTTTGAAGCAAAAAAAAAAATAAAAAAAATAAAACTCTTATAAAACCTTAAAAATAATCATAAATATAGAAACAGTATAAATATATTAGTTTTTATCATATTTAATAAAAAAATATATCTCCGTGTTCTTGTAGCACGGAAAATATTTTCCCGATATTCCTTTTCCCACCCGAGCTCCGCGTAACCTCACTTCTTCTATCCTAACCTTATTGTGCTGAATTTTACTCTCTCTTTTTTAAATGTAAAAACAAAAGAAGAAAAAAAAAGTTTTGCACAAAAGTTATTTGTGTTATAGTAATTAAGCACAAAAAAAAAATTATTTTTATTAAAGCTGGCATTTTCTTATACCAGAAGGGTATTCTTATAGAAAAAAAAAAGTCTAAATTCGATCTTTTTTTTCTTTTTCGCCTATACTGTTTTAAATCTTTTTAAAGGGATATTCAACCAAATAATTATTTCTTAATTGAATATTAAACTAGGAATAAGTTAACATTTACAATATTATAACTTAGGGTTTGCATTTGTCATTTAACATGACACAATAAATTTTCCTATACACATAACATTTTGTGGGCCCACACTTTTTAAAGAAAAAAAAAACAACGGCACGCAAAACGAATCTCTATAACATTACACAATCATTTTTCTTACAACATAACTCTTATAAAACCCTATCACTTATTTGGTGAAAGATATAATAGTATATACCATGATCAAATAATTTGATTGACTTTTATTTTATGTTACAGTTCTATCACAGAAGTGGAAATCTACTTAATTCGAGTTAATTTTGAGGACATCACTCTGTGGACCTACTTTAATTTGAATGGTAATGTATATTTTTTCCCCATTCTATATCCACCATCTCATTACTTATGTTGTTTAATTGTTGGACAAAATAGTATAGTGGTGCTATATTTTTCTATTTTGAGTAAAGTTTGAATTTAATTTTCAGGAAGTATAGTTATCATATTTATAAATATAACGATGTTATGTTATCATAATAATACACTTACAAATATTTAAGTAAATTTTTTATGTAACTCTAAAATATTACACATCGTGTATTTATTAATATTTTAACATTTCCATTATACCTTTAATAAATAAAATTTATATCTATATATATAATGAACCTAATTCACATATAATCTATTAAAAAATTATATAAATAAATAAATAATAAAATTTACCTTGTAACATTTAAAAAAATGAAAGAGAATACTTATGCTTTATTTTTTTTTGAAATTAGAAATACCTTGACAAGGTATATTACGTGAGTATAAGTGCACGGTAGACAAAAATGAAAACCTTAATGTACAAAAAAGAGAGAGAGTAAATACCCTTCTGTGTCTTCAACAAAAAACACGAAATCTATTTTAATCACTTAGGAAAAAAAAATTGACTTGTGATCTCTCCGAAATTCTAGTTTTTTTAAAAATGTGCTTCCTCTGAAATTCAAAGAAGATCTACGTTAATATCTCGAAAAGAACAAATACGAGTACTTTTTATTTTAAGAGATCAAAATGAGTTCCGTATTTTTTGTTGGGGACTCAAAATGATATTTACTCAAAAAAATAAAATAAAACGAAAACCTTAAGTTCAGAAATAAAGGTAAGAGTAAATACCTTTTTAGTTCCTAACAAAAAACACGGTCCTCACTTTAGTCCCTTACAAAAATAAATTAGTCAGTTAGTCCCTAACAAATTCAAAGTGGACCCATTTAGTTAAAATCGTGATCCCTCACAAATTCAAAAAAGACCCATATTAATCCCTCAAAAAGACTAAAATGGGTCCACCTTGAATTTGTTAGGGACTAACTGACTAATTTATTTTTGTAAGAGACTAAAGTGGGGACCGTGTTTTTTTGTTAGGGATCAAAAATAGTATTTACTCTAAAAGTAATGTTTTGCCACCAATAAATTTTATAAAATATTTTCCTTTTGAACTTGATCATGTACATGCAATAAGAATAAGGGTTTTATTATTCTCCTTCAACATAAGATAAGTATCTTATGTTGTAGAGATAAAATGAGTGAGTCCCACCATTATAAGAAAAAAGAAAAAAAAAGGAAAAAGTGAGGTGCGGAAATAGAAGTGAGAGAGTAGGAGAGAAGTAATCTTATGTAAAAGGAGAGTAACATTTCCCTAAGAATAATTATGTTTCTTATATAGTTTAGTTAAAAATAAAGATGTTTCTTATCATCTGGCCATTCTATAAGATATGGTATATCCTACAGAATTACTCATCTTTTTAGCCCTTCAAGTACTGAAAAAAATTAAAAGAAGCCATTTCATGATTACCTCAACAAGTTATATGCAGAAGACATAGAGGTCCATAACTTGGACCCAACTCGCATCCCCAAAATCTTTAGGTATGTAGTTAAAACCCTTCCAATTTCTCTTCTTCCACACCAATTCCAACCAAATAAACAACCGATGTGCTCATGGTTCCCTTAGTTTAAATTCCAGCACTTCAGGGAAGAGAACAAAAAGTAAAATAAATTAATGAAATAAGCAAATGCAGATAACTCATAACAGACAAAAGTGAACGCAGAAATCACTTTTTTGATTCTCTGAATAGGGAAAGAAAACATCAAAGCTCAGGAAAACAGCATAAAAGAAAATTTAAAAACAAGAAAAACAAAGTCAACATATTTCTCGTATGCACAAATTTTTACAGCAACCAAATACCAAACAGAAAGAAGACATTATGCTCAATCAACGAACGCATCCGAAGAAAGACACAGTAATTCAAGAAGCAAAACCTTGAGCGATAAGCTTCGCGACAGCGCGATTAGGGTCCATATCACATTCCTTGAGCACAGCGTAGATCTCCTGCTCCGTACAGTTCACGATCTCCTTCACTCTCTGCACCACCTTCTTCGCCACTGCCGGTACACCATGCGCCGCCGTCGCCACTCCTCCTTCTCCGCCGCAACTGTCACCATTTCTCACTCCCTCAATTATAACGACACCAATTTTTGTGTCCGCACTATATATATATATATATATATATATATATATATATTTGTCAAGATTATTTTTATAACAGTTTAATTTACATTCTCGATCTTGCTGTTGATGTCACTTATATGTAATGGCTTTAATTTTTTAATCATTGGATATGAGTCGATCAATGACCAATATTAAATTGTTTGTTTCTTACTGATTTACATCTTCAACAAAACTCGGTGGAATGATAATCTCATCTCATCTATAAATTTAAATTCGTTAATTTGTATTTATTCTTTTATTTATTGTAATTAATATTAACCTCTTGTTTACTTGTGTGCAGAAGATGTAGCTGATATATAAGTATAGAGCTCAGTAAAGTCAAGTGAAAGATGAAAGATGGATCCTCTACAGCTTCTAGTTCAATTCCTGATGTCACCTCGTACTACGACGTGGCTGAAGAAAAACTTTTTGATTCCCTTGCTGCGGTATGAGGCAAGAGTTGGGGAACTAAAACTTTGTATTCAAAATCTCAAGAAGGCGAGAGATGTAGTTAAACATAAAGTTAAGGAGGAAGAAAACCGATATGGAAGAAGATTTGCTGATGAAGTTAAAGAATGGATACAAGGGGTGGATAAAATAATTTCTGAATATGAAGATTTTGATGAGGACGAACGCAAGAAGGATGCAGTGTTTGACTTGTTTACAAGTGGTTTCCTTCCTAAGCCGGGGATAAGGTATCATCTAAGCGAAAAAGCATTTAATATTACAAGGAAGGTTAATGAACTAGAGCAAAAAGCAAAGCATGATGCGGTTTCTTATTGGCTTGGTCCACCCTCCATGGTTGCCTTTTTTACTAATGTTGGTTATGAAAGCTTTCCCTCAAGAGATGAAACTGTGACCAAGATTAATGCAGCATTGGAAGACCCAAATGTTAGAATGATTGGACTTCATGGGTTGAGTGGTGTGGGCAAGACCAGTTTAGTCAAAAGAGTTGCTAAGGAAGCCTTGGAAGCTAAGATGTTTGATGTAGTCACCATGGCAAGCATAACAAGGAATGCTGACATAAGAAAAATCCAAGGACAAATTGCTGACATGCTGGGGATGAAATTGGATGAGGAAAGTGACATTGCAAGAGCTGCGCGAATACAAGAGAGATTAAAGAACGAGAAAGAAAGCACCCTTATTATCCTGGATGATCTTTGGGCAGAAATTGACTTCAATGTGCTGGGGATTCCATCCGATGATGATGAAAGGAAATCCCCTCAGGCTCACAGTATGATTGAAATGGAAAAATCCCAAGTTGCTCAAAGTACGATGGAAGCAGAATTTGGTGCTCTCAATATGATGAAATTAAAAAAAAAACCCGGTGATTCCAATAAGATGAAAACAGAAGAAACTCCTAGTCATTACAAAGGGTGCAAAGTTTTGATGATTTCTGAAAGTAAAAAAGTGTTAAAAAGTCATATGGAAGGGAAGGGAAACTCTATTTTCTATGTGGAAGTCTTAAAGGAAAAGGAAGCAGAGATGTTGTTCAAGAAAAAGGCTGGAATAGGTGATACAAATTCGGATTTGGAAATATTAGCAGCTCAAATTGCCAAGAAATGTAATGGACTGCCAGTATCAATTGTTACAACTGCAAGGGCATTAAAAAATCAAAGCCGCTCAGTATGGGAGAACATTAATCGAGAGCTTGAAGGGAAAAATTTAATGGGAGCACCTGAGTTTTCTACAAAGTTGAGTTATGATCTTTTAGAAAACGAGGAGCTCAAGTATACTTTCTTACTATGTGCTCGCATGGGTCATGATGCATTGATTATGGACTTGGTGAGATCCTACATTGGTTTGGGTTTTCTTCAAGGAATCTACACAGTAAGGGAAGCCAAAGATAGAGTATATGCATTGGTCGGAAAGCTAAAAGAGTCTGGTTTGTTGTCTGAAAGCTATTCAAATGATCATTTCACCATGCAAGATATTGTTCGCAGTGCGGCTTTGTCAATAGCATTGGAGGAGAAGCATGTATTTACAATGACAAAGGGAAAAATAGATGAATGGCCTGATGAGGATAAACTTAAAAGGTTCGTAGGTATTTCCTTACAACATTGTGATATCATTAGCGGGTTTCCTAGAATGTTGAATTGCCCGCAACTTAGATTCTTCCATGTTGACAATAGTTATCCACGTCTGAAGTTGCCAGACAACTTTTTCAAAGGAATGAAAGAACTCAAAGTGTTGATATTGACTGGCTTTGATCTATCACCCCTACCTTGGACAATTAGATACCTTACGAAGCTCAGAATGCTTAGTTTGGAGGGATGCACACTAGGTGAGGAATTAGCGTATATAGGCGAGTTGAAAAACTTAAGAATTCTTAGTTTTTCAAAATCTGATATTAAAAAATTGCCTGTTGAATTGAAGGAGTTAACAAAGCTTCAAATTCTTGACATCAGTAATTGCTCCAAACTTCAAAAAATTCCATCCAATGTAATAAACAGTTTGATTAGTTTAGAAGAGCTGTATATTGGAAACACATTGATTGAATGGAACATTGAAGGACAAACAAATCAAAGTGAACATGGCAGTCTTTCTGAGTTGAGGCATTTGAATCAGTTGGCAACTCTGGACTTACGAATCCCAAATGTTGACCATTTGCCAAAGAACTTGTTCTTTGACAAGTTATATAGTTACAAGATTATTATTGGAGAATTGAAGGCATATTTAGAGACGGATTTCAAGATGCCAGAGAAGTATGAAACATCAAGATTTTTGGCAATGCAATTAAATGCTGACATTCATTCTCTAATGGGCATCAAAATGTTGTTTGGCAGAGTTGAGATTTTGTTGTTAGAAGACCTCAATGGTGTTCAAGATATTTTTTATACATTGAATTTGAAAGGATTTCCATATCTTAAACATTTATGCATTGTAAGCAATTCCCACATTCAATCTCTCATCAACCCAACAGACAGACAGCAAACAGACAGACAGCAAGCTGAGGAGGCTTTTCTTAAATTGGAGTCATTGTATCTCTATGATCTCAAGATCATGGACAAAATATGCTCATGTAAGCTTTCAGCATTCTCATTTGGCAAATTGAAAGCCGTAAAGATCTATCAATGCAGTAAATTGAAGAGCATCTTCTACATTTCAATGGTTAGACATCTAACTGTTCTTGAAACAATTGAAGTTTCTGAATGTAACACTTTGAAGGAGATTGTCCCTATGGAAACACAAAGTAACACTGAGCAACTTGAGGAAACACAAAGTAAGACTGAGCAACTTGAGTTTCCTGAATTACGTACTTTGACCCTACAATCTTTACCTCAACTTACTGGATTCTATCCCATTTCATCAACTGGAGAACTATTCCACGAAAAGGTGTGTTTAAAACTATCATATAGATTTTTTTATCTTTTGCATTTCAAACTCTTCCATATTTTATTTGTTGAAACTAAAAGGGACGGACTTTGAGTTGTAAACTTAAAAAATATTTATTTTCTGTAGAGGAAATTAATTTAAGAAAGTCAAAATCAATTATTTAATTTTTGATGACCCTAATGTGTCTTCCTTTGCAGGTTATAGTTTCCAAATTGGAGAGAATGGAGTTGTCCTCGATCCACATTGACGTAATATGGAGTGAACAACCTTCATTATGTTCCAGTTTTCAAAATTTGATTCACTTGGATGTGAATGAATGTTGGAAATTAAAATATTTATTATCATTTTCAATGGCCAAGACTCTGGTGAATCTTCAAAGTCTTTCCATAAGTGAATGTGAAAACATGGGACACATCTTTCTCCAAGAGCTTGGTAGTCATGCTGAAACGAAGGTACAACAGTTGGTGGGGTTAGACTCGATTTTAGATCTCTTTGTACACATTCATTTTAATGTTGAACTAATACCCCATTATCTTGCATGTTAGAGAATTTGAAATCTCTATTTCTAATGAGTCCCTTGATATTGTGAACTAATTCATAACATAGGATTTGCATAAATATGAAGCACCCTAAAATAACATGTGTACAATCTCTCCTATAATTAATATTTTAAATTGCACTACTGTGATTTTGAAAATTATGGTGACTGATTTTGTTTGTGTTGTTATTTGTAAAATTCGTATTTGTCCAAACCTTTTTTTTTTTTTTTCACAATTGCTGTAATTGTAATACAATAATTTTTTAACCCAAATCACAATTAAAACTTTTATAATCAAGTTACTTTCTGCTTTCTCTTTATTGATTTGGTTTGCTTTACATTTGAAATCTATGTTAATTGGATTAACTTATGGCAATTGTGAACTAAAGCAGGGTCGCATTTTTCCAAATTTGAAGAAAATAAAACTGAGTTGCATGAAACGTCTTAGTGAGATATGGAATTATGAACTCCCTTCAGATTCGTTTGGAAAATTGGATACTCTGATCATCGAGCAGTGCGATAAATTTGTCAATGTTTTTCCTTGTTACATGAAGGGAATATTTCGGAGTCTATGCAACTTGAGTGTTACTAATTGCAGGTCAATGAAAGAGATATTTGACCTAAATGATAAAAATGGAGATGCTAGTGATGTAGCCAACTTGCAAGATGTTCATTTAGAAGCACTCCCGAAATTGAAGCATGTATGGAAAAGGAACAAAGACTGGGAAATTGTTCTTAACTTGAAAAAGCTGCAAAAGATATGGGTTCATGATTGTGGCAGCTTAGAATATATATTTCCATTTGATGAAGCCAAGTGTCTTCCCAATCTTGAATACCTTGTGGTATGGGATTGCTCAGAATTGTGGGAAATTGTTGACAAGGGAAAAGGTACCAACACCGACTCAAGCAGTTTTAATCCATCATTTGGGTTTCCTAATCTAATCACCATCAAATTTTCAAAGCTGCCAAAACTTGAGAGTATCTATCCAGGACCATATAAATTAAGTTGTCCAAAATTGAACGACTTGTGTGTTGAACTTTGTGACAAGCTGGAGCCATTCAGAAAACAAACCATAGATGCAGAAGGAAAGTTTGTGCTCTTTCCTGAAGAGGTACTAGTAAGCCTTTCAAATCTTAAGAATTCTTACTAAATTATAGAAAAATAGAGTAAAAATCATTATAGAAATGGGAAAAAAAGGTCAATGCATTTTCATATATTTATGCTCTCTTTATTTTTCATCATTTATTTCTTACAGGTAATCAATCAGTTGAAGTCCTTCCAAATTGATTCGTGGCATGTAAAGTTGTCAAGCAGCTACATGGGGGAAGAGAACTATCGAAGGAACAAATTAGAAGAGCTTCGCTTGTCTAAATTAAATAATACTGAGGTTCTATATTCTTTCCTTCATAGCAATCCTAATCTGAAAAGCCTATCATTGATTCATTGCTTCTTTAAAGATATGGTTCCTCTCAGATGGCCTACTGAAATTCAAAAAAAGGGGGTTGTTCCAGAGCTGAAAAGCTTGAAGT